GCTCTCCTTTTGTCATCGTGATTACTAAAAGCATGAGAGCCTGCTGGTTAACTGATGATCCTGACAAAGCATGCACACAAGTATTGTTAATCCTTTACACCTATGCCTTTTCCTGTGTACACAATAAGCAGTTAGATCTGGTCTCCTGGGAATTCTTTTTAATCCTTCTATTTCATATGCATATTCAAAATTTGAAGAAGTCTTTACTCCTGTTGGGCATACCCAACATGGTTTGGGCTGTCACTAAGTCTCCATTAGAACTAATGCTAAATATAAGAAACACTAATCTTGAGAATTTATAGTCTTACAATTTTTGATATGATGAATTTTCAAAAATCAATCAAACAATTCATTCCTAAAATGTTCACCAAGGCCCCCACATAAATATAACTCTATGTATGTTCCAAAGAAAGTGGAAAGCCCTTTCCCTTTCTACCTCAGGGAGTTTCCATTCTTACTTTATAGTATTCCTGTGAGTTGTAACATTGTAAATTGACTGCTTTTCTGAAGTCAACCCAGATTTGCTTTTAGCTACCATTATATTCTAGATAAGACCGAATGAAAGGTAGATTTTATTTTTATGGACTGGCCACTTGTTTTTGTTTTTGTTTTGTTTTGTTTACTATCTTGTCTAATGACTCTCAACCCACCTTGCAATTTATGTGACCATGCTGGTTGCTTGACCTGAGCATTTGCTCTCCAAGGGCCTCACCACATGCCCTGATCCTGTGTGAGACATTGATAAATTCTGTCTGAGATACAAGGCACGATAGGCAATTTAAAAATATATATTTTCCTCTGTTCTCACTTTCTTCTGAGAAGTCTTTCATTCTATTTCTGAGTTGAGTTGATTGATTCTGAACTAGTTTAAACTCAAGGTCTAGAGCAACAAGCTGAGGGGGAAAAAATGGTAGAGATATATTTAAAAAGTGCCTTGGTTTTGTCTTCTGATTCATTCAATAGAAAAGCTCTTTTATGGATAAAAGTTCCTTTTTGTATGGTGTAGTACTCTCAGTTACTACTGGAGTGAAGCATCACAAAAGAGAAGAAAATGATGAAATGCTGACAATTTAATACACGCTAAATGTAAAAGAAGTGAATATTGAAAAGACTCGGGCTTTATTTGTGATATTTTTGTGGTATTTCTCTTTCCCTCCCTCTCTCTGTCTAATAAGTTAAATAAGTATATAAGTATAAAGCTTAACTGTGAGTAGTGAGTACACAGCAGATAAATGTAGGGACGTTTAAAAAAAATTTGAGCTTGGATAAAGTTAGCAAAAATGTGAAATTTTCTGCCTGTTCATGTAATCAGAGTACCTCAGCACTACTCTGAAGTGAAATGACTAGCTGGTAAAATGTTAAGAAACTTCTCAAAAGATCTCGCTTATCTGCCTGATGCCTTGAACCCCATCAAGAGGCTTCCTGCCTTTCCTATGAGGCTTTAATCCTCACATAAATAAAAATATCAACTGGGAGGGGTAAAATATTAAGTTATGGGACATTTCCAATTCAATAGTCACTCTTCTGAAGAGGAGCTCAGGCCTTGGAATGCCTTTGAGAAAATTTCATATAATAATGGGGACTCTTGTTGGAAGACACAGATTTTAAATCCATCAAATACTTTTGATGTAGTAGCCTATTATGTTTTTTTTTAAAGATTATTTATTTGAGAGAGAGAGAATGAGAGAGAGAGAGCACATGAGAGGGGGCAGGGTCAGAGGAAGAAGCAGACTCCCTGCCAAGCAGGGAGCCCGATGTGGGACTCGATCTCGGGACTCCAGGATCATGACCTGAGCTGAAGGCAGTCTGCTTAACCAACTGAGCCACCCAGGCGCCCTAGCTTATTATGTTTGTAGAAAGCATGTGGTGGGAATTTAGAATAGTCTTCATGCTCTTTATATACTCCCAGTTTTATATATACTGAAGTGATTTAGGATATGTTTTTTTCTAAAGTACATTTTTCATCAGTAAAGGACTCTTCGAGACCTATTCATTCCTTATCTAATTGACTACTACCCAACACAATGGAAAATGTCTTGATTTGTGTATTTGAATAATATTCTATTTATCTATATTTCTTTGATCCTTATGATCACCCACACTGATGTCAGATGTCATGGAACTCAAGTGCTTGTGGTACAAAAGACTGTCACTACTGCTTAAGTCAATTATGGTCCTAATATATGGATATGGAAGCTTAATTAACACTTTTGATGTCAATGACTTCTTGTGCTTGAGAGAGCTCTCTGCTTAAGCGCTTTGTTCTGTACAGCACTCACCACCTTCTACAAATACTCCTGTCTCCTGAGGTTAAAATCTCTTACCACTTTTTTTTAAGATTTTATTTATTTATTTGACAGAGAGAGAGAACACAAGCAGGGGGAACAGTAGAGAGAGAGAGAGAGAGAGAGAAGCAGATTCCCTGCTGAGCAGGGAGCCTGATTCGGATTCGGGGCTTGATCCCAGGACTCTGGGATCATGACCCGAGCTGAAGGCAGATGCTTAACCAACTGAGCCACCCAGGTGCCCTGAAATCTCTTACCTCTTAATCAAAATCCACAGCAAACCTTTTAGAGCAATGATTCTTGGATATTGTAGAGGAAATAGTGTTTCAATCATTCATTCAAAAAAAATTTTGTGTCTACTATCCCTATTAGAATTACCAAGGTTCTTTTAAGAGATATCAGTTATCACAGATTCTAATACTATATTTTCTTTCCATCTAAACTGGATCTTCTCCCCAATCAATCTCGATTCCATTACCCTGCTTTATTTTTTTCTTCATAGTACTTACTGATGTGGTTTGAAGTGGTGGGGTCAGAGCTGACAGCCAAGAAGGAATTCTTGAGATGTCTTTAGTGCAAAAAGGTGGTTTTATTAAAGCACAGGGACAGAACCCGTGGGCAGAAAGAGATGCACTGGGGTCATGAGGAGGGGCCGACTATATGCTTTCAAGCACAAGCCTCCAATGTATTTTGGAAATAAGGTTTCCAGGACCTTGAAGGGGGCTAGCTATTGTTAGGAAAAGGTCATTTATTACTCTCTAGTAAAAACTCAGTCATGAGACCCTTCAGATTTCGGTCATATGCTCGGGGGATGATTGCCAACATATATCTTGGGGGATAGAGATAAAGGAAGTTTCCAAAGGAATTTTTTTAAAGATTTTGTTTATTTATTTGACAGAGAGAGATACAGCAAGAGAGGGAACACAAGCAGGGGGAGTGGATGTGGGGCCCCGATGTGGGGCTTTATCCCAGGACCCTGGGATCATGACCTGAGCCGAAGGCAGATGCTTAACAACTGAGACACCCAGGCGCCCCTCCAAAGGAATTTTTATATGTTAAAGTAGACTTAGAGGATCCTGGGGGTTCAGAATAATGTTAAGCTAAGATTACCTTTTGCTCTTATTAAAATATTAACATCGAGGCAGCAGAGTTCCTAGAGGAATGCCACTGTGCCCATTTCAAGGATTTGTCAATGGACTGTAAGTAGTAAGGAGATTTAAGCTTTTCTTTTGCCTTTGTTGCCCACATCACTTATCACTACTTGAAATTATATAGCGATTTATTTTTGTATTGTCCATCTCCCTGCAATAGAATACAAGCTCCAAGGGGGTGGTGAATTTGTTTCATTCACTGCTTTATCTCTATTATCTAGAACCATGCTTATGCCGTTGTAGGCACTCAGTCTTGTTAAATGACAGGATCAGTTAATTAATTAGTCTCCATTTCAGATACCACCCAGTTCCTTACTGCACCATAGAGGGAGCCTGTGTTACACATGGGATTGTGTCATAGGCTTAAGGTATGCTAGGGTTAGATGAAGGTTCAGGACCAGTGATAGAGAGCTGCAGTCCCTGAAGACAAAGGAACATCTATTTAGACTCTTCTTGTAGTCATTAAACTCTTTTGCTTCATAGAGATACAATTATTTTACTGATGCCCAATAAATAAATAATAAATAATGCTCTTAATTGAAATTAACTTGTAGCTAATTACTTAAAGGTGAAATTTTTGTTGCCTATTATCAAGCATCTTAGCATATTTACATCTCCCTCTGTTGATACCTCCAAAGGGATGGGGGGTGCAGGTCTCATTATAAATGACATTTCATAAGACTGCAGGATTTTGAAGTAAGGACCATTAAAAATGTTCTCTGGAACAGTCCGTAGTGTACAAGAAAACGGGGACCAAAGCAGCCAGAGGGAAGGGGATGTTTTCAAGGAAAATGAGACATTTTATGGATAAAGGGTAATATCTGCATAATTAGGTAGAATGCAGCAGGTGTTTTAAACAGTTCATTTGATCATTCTTATCAGTTTTATTTTGCTCTTTCAGAAAAAAATAAAAAACATGAACTGAGGATTTAAAGCAAAAAATGCTATTGTTTAAAACTGGCTCTAGGAGCACCTGCTGGCTCAGTCAGTAGAGCATGCGACTCTTTAACTTTTTATTTAAATTCCATTTAGTTAACATACAGTGTAATATTAGCTTCAGGTGTACAATATAGTAACTCAACACTTCCATACAACACCCAGTGTTCATCACAAGTGCACTCCTTAATCCCCATCACCTAGTTCACCCATGCCCTGCTCCCCTCCCATCTGGTAACCAGTTTTTTAAGTATCTGTTAAGAATCTGTTTCTTGGGTGCCTGGGTGGCTCAGTCGGTTAAACCACTGCCTTCAGCTCAGGTCATGATCCTGGAGTCCCTGGATCAAGTCCCACACCAGACTCCCTGTTCGGCAGGGAGTCTGCTTCTCCCTCTGACCTTCCCCCCTCTCATGCTCTCTCTCTCTCAAATAAATAAATAAAATCTCAAAAAAAAAAAAAAAGAATCTGTTTCTTGATTTGCCTCTCTCTTTACTTTTTTTTTTCCCTTGAGCATGTGACTTGATCTCAGGACCTTGAGTTCAAGCCCCAAGTAGGGCATAGAGCTTAAAAAAAAAAAAAAAAAAAGCTCTAAATTCTAGAATGTGCTTGGAAAGCTGTTTTGACAACCATGAAAGCACAGAAAGATTATCAGAACACATAAACTAGTCCAAGGAGGGTAAGTATGATCACAGAGTTTGTGTGAGCATCTAGAAACCTCCTTCTCATTTCTTGCCAAAACCTAACTACCAAGGGATGAGGGGAGAAGTGTTAAATACAGTGATTAAAAAAGGGACATAGTTTTAAATTAGGGGTTGCTTCAAATGGTCTTCTTAAACCATATGAGTAGGTGATTTCTAAGACGTGAAAACTTTCCTACAGGGTTATAATAACAAAACTTTTAGTGTGGTTAATACAAACACACAGGAATATTTCAGTTCTATTGTTTGTAATTCAATGAAGCAGCAACACCTAATAAATAGAAAGCACTGAAGTGGGTGTTGAAAAGCTGAATTCTAACAACAGGTGACTTTTTCTTCTAACCATTTCACATGTTTGTGCTTTAGCATCTCTTCCTTAAAGGTAGAAAAGATAAACCTTTTCTAATGGTAATCTGAGGTTATACCAAAGGACAAAGTTTACAGCACTGCTATTTTAAATATTATTGATTTTGATAACAAGGGAGAGCCAATTATAAATTATTCTTGATATCTGGTTTAAAAGAATAAAGTAAAATCTGATAATTAAAGAAATCAGTCAGTGCACCTGGGTGGCTCAGTCGTTAAGCGTCTGCTTTTGGCTCAGATCATGATCCCAGGGTCCTGGGATCGAGCCCCGCATCGGGGTCCCTGCTCTGTGGGAAGCCTGCTTCTCCCACTCCCCCTGCTTGTGTTCCCTATCTCGCTGTGTCTCTCTCTCTGTCAAATAAATAAATAAAATCTTTAAAAAAAGAAATCAATCTTGTACCTTTCAGTTTAGTCAAGTATAAAAGACACAACAATAACATAAGCAAATTTAGTGAATAGTCCAATTGTAAGTCTATTCTATATAGTATATAATGAGAGAGAAATGTACTTATTTATTTTTTTACTAACAACTTTCCACTAAAGGGGAAAGTGTAGCATTAATTTGTAGCATGAATCAGAAATGCTGGAGAATGAAGAAAACAAACTTTTAGTGAGTACCAGTCATTGCTTGTGTATGATTTATACCTGTTAAATTGCTTTATCTTCATATTAATCTTATGAGTCAAGTGATTGAGAAAATACAGGTCAAATTATACTTTTACGCCATGGCATACAGCTAGTAAGTAGCAAAACCAGAATTTTGAACCCATATCTGTCTGCCTTTAAGCCATGTTTTTTTTTTCTACCACATTCTGCAGCATTTTCAAAGGAGTCCATAAACTCCACATTTTCCCACCATGTTTGTTGTTGAGCAAAGGAACGACCTTATCTCTTTTCAGTGACCCTCTCCCACTGTTGGGTCCCCTTTTTGCACCCAAGCTTGAATTAGACTCATGTTTCCATTCCTGGGTCCTACAATGCAGTACTACCCCCAAGACTATCCTCAAGCATTGCCACTTGACTTATTCCCAACCCTTCCTCATAATCCACATCAGAGAACCCTGCCACATATCCCTCTAGGGCTTTGTAGGTGGTTAATTTGTTAATTCCAAATAATTGAATTCATACTAAATTATTTGTAAGATGACAGCTTAATTAAATATCACTCCTAGGGCCTTCCCCATTTTAAAAGGGGATTCTAGAGATTCATTCATTCATTCATACTTGGAACATAATACATGTATTGAATACTTACTAGCTACTTGCAAACACAAGCTGTGGAAAACTGACAAATACAACACACACACCCTCAGCTCTCAAAAAGACAACAGTCTGGTCCAATAGAAGAGATTATGATTCTAAGTAAATTAAATATGGTAGAATGGCATACAGGTTCTCAAAGAGTACAGCCCTAAAGAGTAGCATAAGCATTACCTGAGAACTAATTAAAATACAAATTTTCTGGCCCTAATCCATTCCTACTGAATCAAGAAGTTTGGGACTGGGGTCTAGAAATCTGCCTTTTAACAAACTTTCAATGATTCCAATATAAACAAGTTTGAGAATGACGGGTGTTGTTGTTTACAATATACGGGTTGGATCCAGACTAAACTGGGTTCAATTCTCGCTCTACCACTTCCTGACTGAATGGCTCTGGGTGAGTTACTTGAATTCTGTGTGCCTATTGTCTTCTTTATTAAACAAGGACGATAATAATGCTAATAGCTTCCTGATACAATTGTTGTAAGGATTAAGCTAGTTAATATATGTTAAACACTACGACAGTTCCTATAAATGTGTTTTGATTTCGTTATAAGGCATAAATAGTTGTTGAAAATTCCATGTTTTAAGACCTAAATAACTCTTCAAATTATTTATAATACTCCTGAAATTTTTTAAACTTATTTAATTATAAGACTTTCATTTGAAAAGCTGTTCTATTTTTTAAAGAACAGTGATGGGGGAGATGCAATGTCAACTAAAAACATGGATGTTTAAGGTGGAAATAGTCAATAAATGAAGATTTTTGTTTGTTTTCAGTAAAGGCCTGCTAACAGTTCTTTAGTACAAAATGAAGATAGATACTTATGTTTCTTGTTTCTTAGGACTCATAGTGACTCATAATTAACTCTGCCGCTCAGTGTGATATTATTTGTTTAATATTTGAATAATGATATATTTGAGGATATTTTTTCCTTGAAAGAATGCTAACTTCTTGGGAGAGACATCTAGTCCTTTAAGCACAATTACTGTGTTTGAGATTCTCTATAACTTGAAGAATTGTCTTAGTGTGTCTTGAATTTTACCTGAAGTCTTGCCAGAAAAAAATAAATAAACTTGTTTAAAGCAACAAGAAAGTAGTATCCCATGCAGAAAATACATTTCCTAGATTATTTGGTGTCACTTTCTGCTTTCCATGAATTGGGGTAACAAGAGCGTCCCTCTGTGCTCCCTGCTCATCTAAGTCTGCCAAGCAATTAGCATCTCTTAACATTTCCAGGCAGCTGCCTAATGAAATGCTTGTTTCTCTAGAAAGACATTTTGCACATAAAACTCTGTCTGATCCTCTGAAACTAACAAAGGTATTTCCAGTCCAAAAGACACTCTGACATTGCCAAAACAAATGTTCAGATATTTTAAAATCCCTTCCAAAATTTACATTAAGCCTATCTATAGAATATCAATTAAGTCAGGGTGACCATTCAAAAACAAAGTGGCATCTACAAAGATTTTTCTTCACTTTCAAAATATCTTCGTTCTGTATTTCTTTCAGCATATTACGAATTCCCAGGTACATTTCTTCATTTGCTTTCTGAAATGGTTCCTTAGAGGGAAATCAGAACCATGAAGAGGATGTAAATGAGAAAAAAAAAAAAGTGCTATTTAAGCTTTTTCCAACTGTTCTTATCTCCATATTTTTATAGTTAGTAGACCTTTGCCTTGTTCTTTAGGCTTGTGGAAGATGAACAGATTTCTGCCTGCTCTTAAAGAAGGTTCTTTTCTAAGTATTTAGAGTTCCATTTTCAGGACACAAGTTCAATTCCCTTATCTTTTTATTTATGCATGCCAGCCTAGAAAGGCTTGAGGCCTAACTATAACAAAATACAAGTCACTGCAGTTGGAAGATGCAGTATTCTGACTCTTTTACCTTGACTGCATGCACAATTAAGCTAAAAGCTTTGGGCTTAACCTCTTTTCATTAGTTGCATATGAACTTGCAAATTTTTGCAATATTTGGCAAGGATGGGGAATTTCTTAGAGGTTAGGGAAGAGAGTCGTTCAGTATAGTGATTGTCAGGATGTATTAAGGTTGTAGAGAGCATGCCTTGACAACTGATAACACACTAGAGTTATCGTCAAGGCCCAGAACCCAGAATAATCTGATCTTTGGAAAAGGTTAAAAAGACAGAACTATTCCTGGTGTCAGTACAAGAGCAATAGGATGTTCCTAGGATCAGAGCAAAGAAATCTGCCTCGTAGTCTGTGCTGTAATCAGACTATGCCACATTCAGAGTGAGATGGAACATTTTTCCAATTCCCTACCTGCTCACAGATACCAATCATGTCATAAACAGAGAGCCAAGCAAAGTGAATTGCGTTGTAACTTCTAACACAGACTTTTATAGCTGTTACACCCCAAAGGCAGAGACCTCAAGAGAAACCAAGAACCTTAAAAGAAATAGAGCAAGAGAGAGAGAGAGAGAAAGAGAAAGAGAAACTAATCAGGAAATGGATCAAGACTGGATACCAACCCCAGTATCTTCAATTCTGAGAACAATGATGCTTATGCTTAAATTACATGGGTTATGTTTTAGTGACAGAAAATGAATAGGAATCCTGGGTTTTAATATAAAAAAAATCAGACTGACCACTGTTCTCTTGATTCATGACTTTTTAATTTTTTTATTTATATCCTGCTATAGAGAGAAATCTAAAAACAAAGTTTCTCCATATAGCAATAATAAGCACATCATACCACACACACACACACACACACACACACACACACACACACACACACAAACTGGTTATCTTCATTTTGTCCTTTCTAAATGAACTGAAAGCTTCAGAACTTCTCAAAAGGTCTTAGGACCTACACACAAATCCTGACATACAATTTGCTCCAAAGATCTCAGCTAGAAATTTCCTTGGACTTTATTGGTTTGTATTGAATGGAATATTCCCATGTGGTTGTCGTCTTTGCAGTAGCTCAATCTGAAGTCTTAGGAAGCAAATTCTAAGGGCAGAGAAAGTTTTGTAGTATAATAGAATAGAGAAAAAAAGGTACTGTCTGCTTTAGCTAAAAGTAATTATTAACTAAGAGTTTGTCATGTCGATCCTTCTGGTCCAGTTTCACTATTTTATATTTGTCTTAAAACTTAAGAAAATGTAAGAGAAAGGTAACAATTGGCATATTTAAATCACTATCTTACATAAAATACCACACATAAACAAATCCATTCCCCAACTCCAAAACAACACATTATAGGAAAGCTTCAAACCAGCTGATATAAACCTCACACATGTTTTGATTTTATTGCTGTGCAGGGCTTCTCAGTAAATATTTTATACAGCAATAGAAAAATTGACAATTACTAGCGTTTTTTGAAAG